TCATAGATTAACGATGATATTTTTAAAACCACACGCTAGAGATTCGTACATAAGCAGAGAAATTATAATCGGCTTTAAATTATAATTATAGTTTTGAAATTTGATACTTTTTTTTATTTTGCCCGCAAACAGAATTTATCGCCTTTTCTGGCAGTTGCCTCTTTCGTAATTCGCGACAATGTACGGGTTAATGGCAGCATCTATTATCTCTTATCATTTCCACTCTTATATTTTCCCCAAGTCTCTGCGATTGAGATATTTTATCTAAACGAAAAAGTCAATCTGAAAGTAACTGAACATTAATTGTGTGGAGGAAGCAAACGTTAAGCCGCAATGTAGCTAAAGCATTTGAGATCAAAAACTGACAGAATCTCCAAACATTGTATAATAAACACTGGATAATCAAAGATTTCGACGTAATTTCCTTCGGAAAAACCATTAAATTTATGTATACAAATATTTTGCACTGTTAAATATATTTACACTATAATGTAAAGTGAGTGCAGTCTTCCTTCCTTTACTTGTTCAAAGTATAAAATACATTAAGTTGAATTACAGAAAAATAACAGGTTGAAAGCATTAAATCTCGAAACGAATTGCGAGAGATTCTCTATAGAAAAATATTAACTCTTATCGAAATATCAACGATGCGTTACAGAAGATAGAAATTTTAATAATAATTTTTCTGAATTATAAATTGTTGCTTTCATTTCTTTACTTTCTGTATATAAAGTATTGTTTTATTGTCGAATTTCAGTATTGACTTTGCGATTTATTTACAGCTTTATTATTTTAATTATAACACATTTTATATAATACTTAATCAGAATTTACCAGAAAAAGTAACATTTGTTACATCACATTTGAAATAAACAGAATTAATTTCTACAGAAACAATTGCAACATAATAACAAATTATTGGCAAGTCCTGATTAAATTGATAAAAGTAGATATATTTGAATTGTCGTAATTACGGAATTCGTCAAGTGTAAGCATTGTAATAAATCACTTCTTCATCACCGGGCTTTGGCACTTTCTGGAAATTTCTTTCTCTGCGACAATAAAGAAAGTAAGCAAACACAATCCAACTCTGAACTTGTAATAGTCGATATCTGTACTGTTGCTACGTGACAACTCAATAAATTAAGACGTCAGTGACATTGAATCGTCATTTCGAACTGAAATATTACGTATACAGTTTTTAACCGTTTTGACCCTGCGATTATTATTATTAANTTAAATGAATAAAAGTAGATATATTTGAATTGTCGTAATTACGGAATTCGTCAAGTGTAAGCATTGTAATAAATCACTTCTTCATCACCGGGCTTTGGCACTTTCTGGAAATTTCTTTCTCTGCGACAATAAAGAAAGTAAGCAAACACAATCCAACTGAATAACATTAGCGAAGTAAGAACAGCAACTGCGATTTTCCATCCAAAAACAGACCTAACTTCATTAAAATAATCTTCATTCGAAGAAGCATTTGCTGACGATGCCAAATTGTCTTCTACAATTTGTTTACAGTGATCATTAGAAACAATTTCGATGAAAGACACAAGAGACGAATTTCTCGCGCAAAAAACATCGGAGAAATCTGCAATTTTCTGTCGGTTTCTAAGCAACCAGTCCTTAGTAAATTTCGAATGGCAATGGCAATTCCAATTATTTCTGGACAAGTAAATTTTAAATTCCGGAGAAACATCGATCAGGTTCATTAGTCCGGAAGATAATTCGATTAACCGGTTTCCGTCCAACCACAGACATTTCATGTTTGGTAAAATAACATAATCCGGGATATTACTTATTGAATTATTACTAAGATGCAGACGGGTGACGTTTCTCCACGTCACGCAATCGATATTTGACCACTCTTTTATGTAATTATTACTTAAATCGACAATCGTGGCATTCGGGAACAGAACGTCGGGAATTCTGTCGATTTCCTTTCCGGAACAATTGACAATCACGTGGTTTTGTTCTTTAAAACATTCGCAATTGATCGGACATTTATTTCCTATGACTACGAGAGATGTATTATCGAGCAAATTTCTTTCTTCTCCGTAACATTTCGTGTTTTCTATATTTGGAAACATTTTCTTTGCTACTTTTATATTTGACTTAACGAAAGAAACGAATTTCTGCAGTTTGTGGTCACAAGTAATTTCGTTATTACTTAAATTATAAGTCGGCATTTGAAATCCATATTTCCTCTCATCTAAGTGAATTGTTCTGATTTTACAGTTAGACAGATTCATTTGCATTCGATTTGGTGTGTAAATTGGCAATTTGACGGTTTCAAAACTATTATATGAGAAATCGACTTCAGTCAAGTTGTATTGTGTCCAATTTATCACCGGCCATTGTGTGAAACCGACATTCTTTAAACGGAGAGTACTCAGATGTTTGCTGCTGCCAAAAGGATGCTTCCCGATAATTTTAGTTAAATTGTTGTTAGACAGATCGAGATACTTTAAATTAGTCAATGGGAGGAAAATGTTTTCGTGTAAAAATGTCAGACGATTGAATGATAAATCGAGTCTCTGCAATGAAGACAAACTTTGAAAAACATCTTCGGGAAGATTTTCTAAACGATTTGTGTGCAAGTTCAACGTTTGCAGTTCAGAAAGTCCATGAAAAATTCCTGTTGGAAGTGTCGATATTTTATTCAACGAACAGGAAAATCGTTTCAGGAGTTTATTATTTCTGAGAAGATTTGGAGGGAGATGTTCAATCCGGTTGAAAACTAAATCGACGTCTTTCAAATTAATTAAGTCAGAAAATACATCTTCTTCGAGTGAAATAAAGGAACAAAACACTGCATTAATTTCAGTCAAGTTGGACAGTTTCTTAAAGAAACCGGACGGAATTTCTGATAATTCATGGTTCCAACTAATTTTAAACGTCTTTAAATTACAAAGACCTTTTAACATGTCACCGGGTAAATCTTTTATCCGATTATATTCTAAATCCAAACATTCCAATCGAGTGAGATTTCTAAAGACAAGTGGATGAATCGATTCGATGCTGTTGTAACTTAAGTCCAGTTTTGTCAAATTGTAAAGGTTATAAAATAGATCTTCGGGTAAAACTTTTAACTTACCACCAGTGATGTATAATTCGGAAAGATTAATTAACTCTCGGAAAGGTTTGTTGGGAAATAAAGTGAAGTTATAGAAGACAATTCTCAATGAAGTCAGCGAGGGAACATTGCGAAATGTCAGATTTAGAAGTTCCGAGGTTTTCACGTTTATTATTACGACAGATCGCAGAGAAGACATGTTATTAAACGAATTGCTTTCGAACTTTCTTTCATACACGTTTGATACGTAAAATATTTTGACGTGTTCGATTCCATACCCAAACGTGAATATCCCAAAGTCAATTCCTGACAGAGAACAATTTTTAAATTCTATCTCTTGTACATTTTTAACGTCCAAACATCGCATTAAACGAGAGTCAATTGTTTCTTTGCCGCACTTGATGGATAAAAATTGATTTAATATTTCAACGGAGGAAAAGTTTTTCGATTCGTAGCAGATGTCTGCCGATGACGTGCAAGTAACATTTTTCCAATGTTGCCAAAACTCTCGACAGGAATTTACCACTAGAAATAGGAATTGCAAATAGACAACCAACCTCATCTCGTCCGACGACACTTCTAATTCATCCGACACGAAGAGCGGCAAAAACACAGTAGTGAAACCGTGTACCTAAGAATTTTATACTGTTACTCCTGTTTTCTGACTAAAAACACGATAAATTATGACGTCAGTGACGTCGATTTCCGACAGAAATATGACGTATACAGTTTTTAATTTCCTCGTTTATTTCCGTTGCATTCGAAGGAACAATATCGGATTAACGTTAAATGAATGTTTTACGAATACAAAATTTGTTCTGCACATTTATTAATCAAGAATTATTTTGTGTAAACAAATTGATATTTTAAATAAAATTTTATTTATTTTCCTTTTCTAAGTCGTTTCTGATTGTTGTTAATCAATTGTGTTTTGTGACACAAAAGAATGTTTCTGTCTGATTCTAATTAATAATTAAAAGGCACAGAAATGATTTCCCCTGTGAATGAAACTCCGACCATTTGTAATATTTAAAGCATTTAATCAAGTTAATTAAAGTACAAGATAAATGTAAAACTCAGGCAAATAGTTTATGAATATTTGAAAAATAAAAATAAATTAATCTTCGAGTTAGAAACTTAAATAAATTGATGTAGTTTTTATCTGAAATTAATTAACTTTACGAACGAAATCATAAAGGAAGGATGTTGAAATTTGAAAAAGGAAAACGGAGAAATAAACATTAGAAATGACGGTCAACTGCTTTACGGATGTAGAAGTGATTATAGTGAATACTGTTATTCACAAATTTTATTTATTACTTTAATGTCTATTGATAATTTCTTCATCTATCGTCTGTATTTAAAGAAATAAATACGTAATTATTCACCTTACGCGTGATCTTTCTATAAGTAGTGATTGTCTTTATTATGTAGAAGTGACTTTGAAATGTGTATTGTACGTTGTCAAATGTTGTTAGACAACGAAAACATTTGAATCGGTAACAGAAATTACGTCGTTATCCGAAACACCACGTGTCGAATTACGTCGTTCACCGTACGTTACGAAACTAGATTCGAACGATATTAATGAAAGCGGAAAGTACTATACATTACTTGCAACAGGTTCGTTCGGCAGCTGTGACGTACACGCCAGTTATGAAACAACAATTTTGTTTTTTATTATTTAAAATCGAAAGATTTACGTGTGAATGTTTACGAGGAAGAGTATAAACCGCTCCCGTTCACTCCGAATATAAAAAGTTTCGGTAGGCTAATTCATCCTTAAAGTGCCAAATTAATACAATCGTATTCAACCAGTCCTCTCTTAACCACCGCTGGAACTTCGAACCTGCTCTCCGGCGCGATTCTGTATTATAAATTTTATTGTAACTCGAACCTGTGTAACGCGGAAGCGGAAGACTTTGGAGTAAGCAACAAAAAAAATCCGTTCTCGTCGACAAGTAAGAAAAATTACTTTCAAGTATTTATTTATTTATTTAATAGTACAAAGGAAACCCTGATATGTGCAGGCATTTTACTACAGAAAAAAAACATTTGTTTTTACTGTCACAACTAGATGCACAGATAGAGAGTGAGCATTTCCGACATTAATCTTTATTCGGGAATATCTTGTCGACCGAGACGCGTTTTGGACATAAAACCCTCTTTTATCGGCATATCTTTTGTGATATCTTATAAGGAAGTGTTAACTGGTATACATCGTGCCGAAAATTACTTATTTACAGTTAAAAATATTTTAAAGTTACAATTTCTTGGCTCGACTCCGAATAGCAGAGTAAAGCCAACGAAAAAAGCGTACAATTTACCTCGTTTCTTCTTTAAAGATTTTTGAATTAAAGCATATAGAACAAAAATATTATCTAATGTAGAGAAACCGGACCGGAAACCAACCCGGAAATCCGAAAGTACCTCGTATTTATTCAACAAAGTTAGCAGTCGCGTATATAAAATTTTACAAAAAACTGTAAACATTGTCGGTGGTAACGAAACTGCTCTATAATTAACAGGTAAATTTCTAAGCCCCTTCTTAAATATAGGAATGATCTAACATATACGCCAATTTAATGAGATATTTCCTAATTGACATACATTGTTAAACAATTGTAACCAGATACCAAACATTTATTAATCCTCTGTAAAAAACTTTTTCTTAGATCTACATAAATTGCCAGTAACATTACGTTCTTTAACAAAATTAATTGCTGCTACACTACACGTATTCCCAATCTTCGCTCGTATCATCCTGTTCGACGCCCGATTTCTTCTCGCAATACTCAACCCATAACATGTATCAAATTACGAAAATTTGGAAGTTCCGACCGGCCTTTGGCACCAATCCGAAAATGAGGATTTATTTAAACACCCGGGACATCGAACGTTAACACCAGCTGACTTCGAATCGCACCATATTTATGATTTATATAAGACTAAATCAATTACAGAACATCTTATTTCTGCCATCTTTAAACACAGATGATCCTCTACCATTTAACGCGCTCGATGCTAATCGAAGAACTTTTGCGTTGCGTGACCTTCCTCTGATGCAAACGTGTTAGAATAAAAGTTAGAGTTTTAGATTATTTCTAAATATAATTTCTTTTTTATTATAGATATTGCAGGTATTAAATTAAAATGGTAATATTTTCTGTTTCTTGCCAACGTTTTTCTAGCATCTTACATCACGTTTTCTCCAGAGTTTTATTCAATAGAGAAACAGTTGCGTAAAACTCTTGTAGTCATATACTCTACAAGTTAGCAAATTACAATAATATGTGTCGAATGAAAACTTTTGTAACAAGTTATCAGCTACTAGTTGGCAATTATGGCCGCATGAAGTTACTTAAAATCATTAATGAGTTAAAAGCACTGGCTACAAGTATTATAAGTCCAGAAGCTTTTAACTAATAGCTTATAACTTGTAATGTTTATGCTAGGAATAAGTGTTAAATTCACAAAATTAGCAACAGAGCCAAGTATTTAACTCATTTCGAAGAGAAAATATTTGAGTTCTGGTAAGGTGACTTCCGGTTTGCACCGAACTTTTACTTTAATTTAAATATCCGGGCCTACTGCCACTAAACTTTTCATATCTGCTATCGGCTTTCATCTTTCTGACTCCATTCTCGAGATTAAAGAAGGTCAGACGGACTTTCTTTAATTTCTGTGAAATTTATAGGTCTTCAAAAGTTTTTAAATTGCAGTCCAGAAAAATCTGCAATTTATAACATTCGATTTTTCTGAACGTACCCCTAAAATTTTACTTTTATTTCATTGTTTCGCCAATGTCTTAGAAGGCAATCGATGTGGTGAAGAACCAAGAGCTGGGTTTTTGTCTAGTTACTTTTCACTAGTAAATACCTGGCTAGCACTGGTTTCGACCGAAATTCTAGCAAATCCCAAGCCCAATTTGGGATATTTTTGCGGGTTCTTTAGTTTTATGTTTGTCTTACTGTTTATTTAATACTTTCCCGATTATTATAACAGAGATAAAATAAGGCAATCCGCATTAAAATGATCCCTCTCCAAATTTTTACATTTATGGGCTCACGGGATTTTGACAGGTCGAGAAATAAAAAACATTACGGGGGAAAGTAATTTCTGTATCTATGGATGTGTGGGCGTTTTA